AACAAATATGCAGCATGTACTGTCCGGGAATAACAGATCCAACGAAGCAATATGGTCAATCTCTCAGAGGGGTTTTCAAAACAATATTTGGCTACAAAATTTGTAATTTAACTTTTCTATACTAAATGCTTTTGACATTTTAGTATTTGAAGACAGAAGGAACAGAATAACAAATTCACACACTCCATGACAACAGCTACGTTATGAAAGGCTTTACCACAAACAACAAACTAATTGTTGGTCTAAAGGAGAAAAAAAAGTCACAAGCAATTCTTCTGCAGAAAACAAAATCTGGATTTGTATGTCTGTGGAACGTGACACTGTGGAAGCTGTAAGCCTATGAACAAGAGGCCTGAAAGCAACAATGGAGTCTTTCTAACAAACTTGACACAGAGTGAAAGAGCAGCAAAATTGAAAGCAGATGAGAGGCAAGAGAGATTATATTTCTTGAATCAATTCTGTTTGCTGTTTCAAAAGATTTTAAAAAAGTAATTTCCAAAAAATTTATGTTTGAAATTTCAATTTCAGCTCCTACTGGACCTCACTATAACCATCCCACTTACTCTGAACAAAACCATTCTTGATTCCAAAACATCTAAACAATTATCTAACTTTATGACTTTAAAAAAAAGCCAATCAATAGTAGACACACAGCAATACCAGCACCTTACTGTAACATTTTAGTTGTAACATGGAAGATTAAAAGTCTGAGAACATACCCTGAAATATGGAAATAGTCTTCTTGTTTAGAAAGGTCCCTTGAGCTAAATCAAACACTTAAGCTTAGAATTACTTTCTTAGAAGCAGATAAACCAAATAAAAACAAAAGATAACTAAAAAGAAATGAAAGAAGCATGATTAGTGACATTTTATTGTAATTAAATTACAACAGGAATTCTCTACTCAAGATAAAACATGATCTAGCACGACTTGAAATTATCAACTTATTAAGATTTGCAATTCCATTGGCTCATTTTCACATACTGTAAGCTAAAGCACAGTTACTTCTACCAGTTGACATTTCACTGGCACTTTTATCTCAGTATTCTGATAAGAATTTGGCCAGTGGAACATATTAACATCATAATAAAATACAGGATTATTTTCAAGTATACTTTTGGTTCACTGGAGGATCAAAAAAAATTGTGCTAATCAAAAGAGTGAATTTTAGCCTCAAAGGCAGTTGAATCAACACTGTTCTAATAGTATTTCTATAATTTGAAATTACATATAGAAATACTTAAAATTTGTCTTATTTTTTTCAAATTACAGAAGAAACAATTCCAATAAACTCCTGGGAAACAGATGACTAAAGAAAAGTGGCTTTGTTGTGTAAGTTTTACTTCCACCACTCAGTGCTATGTTTCCACATGTGGTAGAAATAGAATTTGACTCTTTCTAAGCCAAGTGCTCTTCATGTTACCTGCCAAGGCAGAGCAACAGTGCTCTGAGGAGCTGGGCACCGTGGGTGTTTACCTGGAGGTAAGCAGTGGCTCAGCTGACACTGGGGAAGTGACTGGAATGCTGTGAAGTACTTCCCTGGGGGCATTTACTGGCACTGGATCCACCAGGATTTCCAAGTACCCTGCTGCATTCGGGTCTGTCTGTGGTATATATGACCAGCTTGGGAAGACAAACAGTGACTCCAGCCAGTCCAGTTCAAAGTGCAAGAGCTAAACGAAAAGATAATGAGATTGAAGCTTGAGATGAGTTTCAGTTTGTTTTCTCAGCACTACTTAGAGTGTTCATTACCAGTGCACCCTTGCATGTACATCACAAACTCTTCTCCTACTGCCAGGCTTCATCACTAAATGAGAGCAGTGTTTTCTGCCCACTCTCTTACCTTGCACAGAGAACTCCTGTCCTTCTAGATGCAAATATGAAACAGACTTGCTGAACTCTACAGCTAGCACTTCTCGTTTATAGTCACAACCTCACAGAAAGGTGACAATTAATTTACTGCAAGGCTTAGTTATTTTCACACTATATTTCTAAAATTCTTGCCTGCTTTCTTTAGCCCCTGTGTTTTCAGTTAGAAGTTCTTACCAATACAACTTTTTCCTAGACTTTGTCTCGCTGGAAGGTACAACTTCAGTGCTCTGTCACCACCACTGTAGGGGTTGCTATCTTGACTCCACTTGCAATTATGTTCAGGAGGCTTTTAAGTCAAGTGTCATGCAAGCTATTATTTCCTGAAAGTATGTCTGCATGTGCATCACTGAACACGTAGTACAACTCTCCAGAAAGTTATTTCTGCTCCGCTAGTTGGAATTCAGCAAAGGTCTCCCAGGCCACCTTGTACTGTGGTGAACAGAACAGAACTGTACTGCCTGTCTCTTTTTTCCATGCCAGTACATTCAGCATTTCCTCTCCTAGCAAAGGCACATTTCCCATGTTCTATCCTCTCCCCAGGACGTCAGCTTGCTGTTTTCCTGCCTGTTACAGAGATGTGTTACTTCCTTCACTAGACTCTGGCAGAACACCTGAAGCCCTGGTGGTTTGTGACGCTGCCCCAGAAATGGGAACAAACACAGAACCCCTCAGACCAAGGACATACCTCACATGGAATTATCCCAGTATTGTCCTTCACGTATAGGCAACCATCTACCAGCTTTTCTTTGTCTTCTTGCCTTCCATCTGCTAAATAGCCAACCAGGATCAGGTAAGTCCTTGGCAAAGCGCGCTGCATGGGTAAAGCACCTTGTCCTTGATGAGACCATTCCTTAAATTCCTTAGTGCTCCAGCTCAGGTGGCTGCAGCACGGTATGCGCTGCTTATGCTGCAGGTCAGAGATGGAGATGAAACTGGAAAAAAAAGAAAGTAAAAAGCAAGAATACAGCAGGATGTACAAGAACTCAGTTTGCAAAGTACCCTAATATCCACACTGAAAGAGCCAACACAAACTGTTCTCCAGCCTGTGATTTTGGTACTGGTTTCCAGTGAGTTTCACTGACAATTTCAGGTTGTGAAACCGAAGCTCTGTTCACAATACCCACTTGCTCAGTAGCAGGACATAATCAAATTCAAAGAGTGTGAATTGGAAGAGTTTCACCTCATTAGGCAGGTATCAAAAGTTCAAAGCAAGAAAGAGTCCAGATGAGTGATGGGTCTTAATCAGCAATAAACAGTAATTAGATACAGAAAAATTAATCAGAAGACCCAAATTTATGCAGGTACTTATGCTGTGCATTTTGCAGGAAAATGAACAGGGGATTAGCTGAAAATTCCATTAGCTGAAACTGCTCCATCTTCGGAGACAGAGCACCACCAGAAATAACACTGGTACCTATGATCCACAAAAGCACAGTGCTGCCCATGTTTTTATCAAATGTGTTGAGTGCTTTTTGGGAGAAACCTGAACTACAGCAGGACACTGGCTCATGGTTATCACATACAGCAGCAAAGAGACTCTCTCCTTGTGCTCTAGAGCTTGGTGGTTAGCTGTGGATGTAGCACACAAACAGACCACTGGCCTCACAGGAGATAAATACCAAGTACTTCAACTCTTCTTTATAGATTCTCCTGAAAATGAACCAAAGTCTGGTTTAAATGTCATAAATACACAGGAAAATATATGGCTTAAATTAGATAAGTTTAGCTGGTGTGGAAGATCAACCACCTACATTTATTAACAATTGTTAAAAGTCACAAATCCCTAATCAATTCCAGTTGACGTTTTCCCCCAATACTGGTCGTGCCAGAGATTTTAATTATCCTGCAAGTTGGAGCGAGAAACAGATCCAGACAAGCCAAACATTCCAATATGGATATGTTTTTCATGACGGTAAGCACTCAAAAGCCTTTTGGCAACTAACATATGGACCACGTTATCCTAGGCTCCCCTTTTTTAACAGCGCACACCCGAGCGCTGAGCTGAGCTGGCCAACAGGTTCGGAGCCCGGAGGGTCCCCCCAGGACCCAGCCGGGAAGCTGCCGTGCAAAGGCAGCTTCGGTGACCCGCTGTCCCCCGGCAGACAGTGCTCGGTGACACCGCGGGCAGCCCGAGGCCACAGGAAGGCCGCGGTTACCCCGTCCCGCAGCCGGCACCGCGGGGCCCCGGGCCCCGTCCCCCCGCGCCGCCGTCACCTGTAGCCGAGCGGCAGCGTCCCGCCGCCCGCGCTCCGCAGGCACCGCAGCACCGCCTCCAGCGCGGCCGGCTCCTGCCCGTCCGGGAGCGCCCGCTGAACGAAGTCCCGAGCCGCCTGCAGCCAGCGCTGCTCCTGCGGGGGGAAAGGAGGGGAGCGGGCTCTCAGCGCCGGGCGGCGGGGAGGGCGCGGAGCCGCCCGGGCCCCTCACTCACCGCCGCGCTGGGCGCCGCCATGACAGCCCGCGCGGGCCGCGCGACGCGGAGGCGGGAAGCGCGCGGGAGCCGCCGGGAGAGCCGCGCGCGAGCGCCGGGCTCCGCCCCCTCCCCGCCCTCCGTCCAATCGGCGGCGCCGCCGCTGCCCGGCTGTTCCCGCCCCTTCCGCGCGGCGTGCGGGGAGCGGGATCGGGAGCGTGTGGGGTGGGGATGGGCCGTGCCGGGCCCCGCTCCATCGCTCCCTTCCGCAAGCGGGCAGGGGAGGGAGAACGAAACCAAAGGTTCACGGGTTGAGCCAGGGACCGGGGGAGATCACACATGGATTGCCGTCACCGGGAAAGCAGGCTCAGCTTGGGGATAATAATTGGATTTACTACGAACAAAATCAGAGCGGGATAATGAGAAGTAAAATAAACCTTAAAAACACCTTTCCCGTTCCGCCCACCCCGCCCCGCAGCGGCGCAGGGAGGGAGCGAATGGAGATTTCGGTCACGGCTCCTTCCCTGCTCCTCCAGCAGGTCCCTCCCACGGACTTGGCCAGCGTGAACCTTTACCGCGGGCAACGGAGCCGCTCCGACATGATCCGCTCTTCCACAGGGTGCACTCCTTCGGGAACAGCCTGCTCCAGCGTGAGGAGGATCACAAGTCCTACCAGGGAACCTGCTCCAGCGGGCTTCTCTTTCCAGGGGTCTGCAGATCCTGGTGGGAGGCTGCTCCAGCACAGGCTTCCCACGGTGTCAAAGCCTTCTTTCAGGCATCCACCTGTTCCAGCATGGGGCTCCTCCATGGGTTACAAGAGGATCTCTGCATCCCCATGGAGCTCCACGGGCTGCTTCACCATGGTTTTCACCATGACTGCAGGGGAATCTCAGCTCTGGTGCCTGGAGCACCTTCCCCCCTCCATCTCCACTGACTTTGGAGTCTGCAAAGTTGTTCCTCTCACATGTTCTCCCTCTGCTCTTCTCTGGCCGCAATTACACCTGCGCAATAACTTTTCCTTCCTTCCTAAATAGGTTAGCACAGAGGCATTGCCACCATTTCTCACGGGCTCTGCCTTGACCAGCAGTCTGTCCATCTGGGAGCCAGCTGGCAGTGGCTCTGCCAGACACAGGAGTTGTTTCTGGCAGCTGCTCACAGAAGTCACCTCTGTGGTCCCCACGCTACCAAAACCTGGTTGTGCACACCCAGTACAGCTCTGCGGGCTGGGAGTAAAGCGCTTGGGCTGTCAGACACTGGCTGTGTGACAGGAGGGTGGCCTCAGTCCCTCCGAGCCTTAGCCCGTAGCCACAGGACCTCAGGAAGCGCTGGAGACCTGGCAGGGATGGAGGGAGGCCTGACCTGGAGTTCTGGTGAAGGCTGGGAAGTAGCTGTGCGTTTGACATTGGTGTAAATGTCAAGCGTGCAGTGGGCTGTGAGATGTCCCTCCCCAAACCTGGGAGGAGTCAAATGTGAAGGTTCACAGGGATTTTTCTGACATTTATGCAGTACTAGAGAAGTGGGGCTGGTTTTTGCCCTTTTTTTATTTTGTGAAGGCTGAAGCTCCAGGAAGATTGAAGGATGTGCCTCATCCACTCACATGCCAAGTGCTAAACCTGAAACAGCCCACAAAAACATTATTTCCTCCTTCACAGAATGCACGCCAGAATTTTCCCTTTAGGGGCTAATTTTGTATTGTCCTCATTCGAGGCTAGGAAAAGAACGGGAAAAAAATCTTTTCCACCTCTGTCCCTGGAGATGGCTGCAGTCTGGAAACAGGTTATTCTGCTATTTCCTTCTCTCCTGAGACTCGCAGCTGGGAAGTCAGAGCTGTTCCAAGCCTCAGTGTGGAAAAGTGCCTTCCTTTTTTTTTCCTGTGCACGTGCCGTTGTTGGCTTCCACACAACAGATAAGCAACTCCATTGAAGGATCAGTCTGTGGAGGTGTTTGGATTTCTCCGCAGTAATTCAGGCAGTCCATGGAGTGAATTGTACCCATCTTGTACTGAAATGGGCAAATTCTTCCAAAACAATGCTTATTAGCTTGATCTAATGTCTTTTACTGGGGTACAAAGACAATTCCAGAAAGCAAGAGGAAGTCTTAATGGGCAACAAATGAAGGGGAGTTCTTTATCATTTAGCCACTCATTCCTAGCTGTATTTTTGTTTTTCAAACATGCTAAGAGGATATATTAAATGAAGCAGGGCTTACACAGAATGCCATGTTGGTTTTGCTTATATTTGCACCATCTGTACAGCTGGTTCATCGGAGCATGCGAGAAAACGTGTGTTTTAAATTAAAAACTACAGGATGGTCATATAGAGCTGATCGTGGCTGCAAAATGCCTTTCTTTAAAATTAAGATGCAAAGAGTCCTTTTCTTACAAGTACATGGTTAATTTTCACGCGGAAAGTACAGCTGAAGAGTGAAACACTCCTGCGTCAAGAACTTTTAAGATTTCAGCGGACCGGACCTCCTCTGACTCCTTTCCCGTGTGTTTTCTAGCAGCTTTAGCCACTCGGTGCGCCATCCCTTGCTTTCCTTCAGCTCGTCCCTCTGGGTTTTTAAGGAATACTGCCGACGCCGCTCCTCGCCCGGCGGTGGGCGGGCGGGGCTCGGCGCTGCTCCGGGCCGCCTCCCGCTCGCCGCTCTCTTTCCTGCTGCCGCCGCCAGGAAGTTGGAGACGGGGTAGCCACTCTCGGCGCTGGGTAGGGCTGGGGCGGCTTCCTCTGGACGTAGCGGACCCTGCCACGGGGATGTAGCGGCCCGCGGAGCCATGCGCGGCCCGGCGCTGCCCCGCACCTCGCTGCGGACGGTAAGTCACGGCGGGGGCTTGGCCGCTCCCGGCGGGACCCCGGCGACACCTCCGCTCCCGCGGGCCCGCAGAGCGGTGTCCGCCGTCGAGCTTTCGGGCCCGGGCTCTCTTCGAGCCTCCTGGCCGCCGGCGGGCTCCCCATCGCTGCCGCTCTGCGCACAGCCCGCTTTCTGCTCGCCCTCTCCGGGGCGCTGGGGCTCCCCTCTCGGTAGCCCCATGCCGGGGAGGGCAGCGGTGGGACGGGGCTCGGGGAGTCCGCGGGAGGGCGGGGCGGGCGGTCGTCGTCGCCGGGGAGGCTGGTGCCGGCGCCGGAGCGGCAGGAGCGGCGGTAGCGGGTCGGGCGGCCGAGCCGCGCCATCCGCCGGGCGCCCGCGGGGCAGCGGCACCGCCGTGCTCGCCGCCTCCCTCCCTCCGCTGCCCGCCCTCCGCCGGGCACCCAGCTCTCTGGCGCCGCTCCCGGGATTTGTCCCTGACTCAGGGAGAAGGCGTCTGGGCTTACAGGAACGGCGGTGGATTCCCTGAAGCCCGCGGCGCGGCCGTTAACGCCGGGCACGCCCACGCTGCAGGGGAATCGGAGCCGCCCGGCCGGGATCGGAGCCGCTCCGCTCCCTCCGCCGCTCTGCGGGCACCGGGGATGATGAGCCGCCCCCGCTTCGCTGTGCGGCCGGGCGCACACAAATGCCACTCTGCGGCCGCTTGAGCAAAGATTAGAGGGTTGTAGCTACGCCCCAAACCACGGGATTTGTATAAAATCAAGTTCAGCTCTGCCGGTAGATCTTCTTTAGTCTTCCCGGGTTTTGTAGCGCAGGACTTTTAAGCTGCCCCTTGTGATTTCGCAGGAGAAAAAGTTGTAAAAGATACCGGAGAGTTTTATGAGTAACCTGATTCCAGACGTGAACTGCTATCGAGTATCAGCACATGTGTGCTGAAGCTGGGACAGTGGAGTGGTGTCAGTCAGTATCACGACATGGCTATAAATTCTACCGTAGAGGTTACAAGGTCAAACTGTTTATCCCGAAATACCTGAGCATCCACTAATGCACACTTGCACTTGGCTGCACTGGATTTGTAATGTTGGGTTAGTTGTTAATTTGTGGTCAGAAAGTTGCAATGTGTGCAGTTACCTTCCAGGTGAGTTTGGATTTGGTCTTGGTTTCTTTTTACCACTTGAAAGGTTTGGAAACCCAGTACTAGACTTAAAGCTGGTAGTTGCAGGACAACACAACTAAAACTGAAGAGAAGGAATACCTTGACTCCAGCTGTGGATCACTTATCATCCTGGGACCTAAGTAGGACACATAAACTGTTGATTTATGGACAGATTTCAAAGCAGATAGTAAACCTGAAAAGTGTATTTATGGCTTAAGAACAGAGGTGCACACATTTTGGTATAAATCAGGTACCATATGTGACATTATTCATTCAGTTGGCAAAAAAGGAAAAACCTATTGGATTCCCCAAATTCATTATATTATCTTCAGTTAAATAAGGTACTGGAGGAAGTGTCCTTCAGTGGTATTTCTTTTTGAAGATGTTTTCCCCTTCTTATTTGCATGTAATTTCAAGTTGTCAATAGCATTCTACTCCCTACAGATAACATATATCTTTTCAATTAAATAATATTCTTATTTGTCCCCCGCCCAGAGTTACAGGTCTCACTCTCACTCGTTGCATGCCCATCCATCTGTCATTTAAATTGCATATAACCCTCATAGCCTTTCTTGGCCCCCCCCCCGATGCCTCCCTTCTGCTCTTCTGATTCTTGTGTATTTCCTGTGATTCTTCAAAATTTCCTGTAGCCTGTTTCCATGCATTCACTCTTTCTGCCTGTCCTTAAAGTAATTTTCAGGCGCTCTGTGTTTTCCCCATGCACTAACTTTTACAGTGGACAAAATGGCATCTGTCTGCACAGTCTCATTAAAATAAAAAAAAAATAGTATATATAATGGAAGTTTCATTTGTTAAAGAAAATTCTGTTTTATGAAGAAAAAAGACAAAATAGCCATAAGGGTACCCCTGACACTCATTTATTTTCAAAGTAAAGGGAGAAACTGCCATTTTGGAGTTAGAAGCTACATTATATAAAAATTGGAAACCAGGCCACCAAGTGCATTGTGAGAAAGAGCTGTTGGGCCACCAGCCTGTTTCCAGTAGTGACCAGTCACAGGTGTCTGCCAAGGGTTTTGGAGCAGGGCAAGTGTACAGCAATGAAAAATAAGAATACTTTCCTGGCTGCAATGGGACTGGGACTGTAGGAATTTCCAAGTTGAAATGGCATATTCATATTTTGCATTCCTGACTGGCTTTTTTTCCCCTTCTCCTATGGGTGTGGTGATCAGTTTTGGAACCAGGACAGGTTTCTGTCCAGCACTCTCTCATGGAGTCCCACACCTCAGCTACATGTTGGCTGTAAAAGTACTTCCCTGTGTTTGTTTTGCACCTTTCTGCTGCTTGTCTTATGTGATGCCTCTTAGTTCTTGTATTGGAGGAGACAGAGAACACGCATCCCACTTCATCTTCTCTTTGGCATTCATGGCTTTGAGCCTGCTACAGTATCCTTAGCACAGGCTTCTCTTTTATAGACTGGTATATTTTATCATTCCCTTTGTGGCAGTCTGTACCAATGATGGTCCTTTTTACTTTTCTTTGTATTATATTTGGGTTAATTTATATTCTTAAGATTGGGGACCAGAACTACAGTCAAGATGCAATCCTCTATATATTGTCATAACAACACTCTTGGTTTTACTCTCAAGTCCATTCCTAATAATTCATAGCATTTGATTGAATTTCTGATTGTTTTCTCCAATAAGATTAATTACTTATTCATCTAATTTTAACTTCTGTTTTCAGGACTAACTACTTCTAGCCAAATGAAATGTTTACATTAGGGTCTGTGCTAAGTACATTTACATGGCAATTTTTGTTCTCACAAGTAACCAGTACTGTCAGTCTGGATGCCTTTCCCTTTTCATTAAGTAATTAATTTTCTGCATTAGCAGTATTATTTGTGGTAAACCTAGTGTTGTCATTTTGCTCTTTCTTGCCCATTTTCTTTAGTCATCACAAAGAGGCTTTGTTTGTATTTGGGGCAGATGCCTTGTGTTCTCTTCCCTAATCCCTGGATAGCTGAGTGCTTCCTTTGCTAACACATATCCTTGTGTTATGCTCTTAGGAACCTGACAGTGGAAAGCACATCTCAAAGCAGTGTCACTACATTTTCCTATTAAACCAAACAGGAATATATCTGTTCCAGTGAGTAGACTCAGCATTTGACAATTACCTGAGTTAAAAATTCACCTAGTGAGTCGCTGACAAGGGGCATGAGCAGGTCCGTGGCACAGTGTGGGCAAGGCTGAGGGCTCATGCCCTGCTGAAAATCATTTCAGGATGGAAAAGTAAGGACCTCCCTGAGCCTTCCCATGGCTCCTGCTCCATCGGTGCTCTGATGAGAGGCTGTGCACAGCACAGTGGAACTCAGCCCTGAACACAGGCAGCCAAAATGCTGGGGTATCGAGGGTCAGTGAACGTGGCACTCTGACACAATGTCCATCAGTGTCCTCGGAGGGAAAGCTTCCAAAGACATTTTCTTATGGTTGTTATCACCTACTGACTTCTCCATTATTTCCTTAATCTTTACTGATATGAAAAAAAGCCTTCTAACTTTATATACTTTATGATATATTATGAAGTCCACAATCTTTATAGATAATCACAGTTTTTTTTCAGTTTTTAAGTTAAGATTTCTAAGGCCTTTCTTCATTGTATCAAAGCTATTACCAGTCTCCTGAATTTAGACAAGGCCTGAAATACAGCATTCTTTCATCTGATCTTCATAAAATGAGGATTATTTATCATAGTAGTTCTTGTAGCCTTCTTTTGTCCTTTCCAGATTTTAGTAAGCAATGACAAAAACTTCCTGTAAATGTTGTTTTAATGCACATTTCTCAATGTTTAAAGCAGAAGTTCTGGTTTCCCTTTCATCTTTGTGTAGCAAACTAAAACAAATTTGAACCTCAAAGAGCTTTTGGAAATGGCTGAACCAGACAAAGAACATAAGAGTAAATCCTGTACTCTGATTTCTTTGGTAGCTCATTAGTCTGAGCAAGATACTGGTTTTTGCCCAAGCCTCCAAGCTGACTAATTTTTTATGATTCATTAAAAAGTCTGACGTATGATTTATGCGTAGAATACTTGTACATGAGGCATGTGTCATGCTGGATTCTTAAGCCAAGGTAATTTGCTGTTGTGAAATATTTTGAGACACTCTAATGACTCATAATGCCTCTTATTTGCAGATAGTTGATAGTTAATTAGTTTAAAAATGGAACTTGCAAAATGGAAGCCTTTTTTGAGAGAAGTGGTTGATTAAGTTATTACAATGGAATCTTTGTGCAACTTGGTCCATGAGGATTAAGGATGATGAAATATATTTATATGAATGAAATATTGATTTCATTGATGATGATAAAGCTGAGACTAAAAGACGAAATTCATAATTACTTACAACACAATGCAGATAGTTATAACTACTAGTATGGTGTACTGTTTTCTCAAGAAATATTGAAGCAACAGTATTAAAGATAGCAAAATGACCTGTGTTCGTGCTGAGTGATTTGGTATTCCCAGCCTCCTGAGGTGATAATATGGGGCAGCTCTGACATGCTGCACTCCTTATGCAGTCCCTCTGTTTCAGCTACTGTGCTTTATGTCCCCTTGTCCTGAGAAAACTGCTCCCAAATGTCCCTTATTTCTACCCTCTCATCTGTTTTTCTGGCATCTTGCTCTGTTCCTCACTTTCATCTTTGCCCTTCCTTTCTTCCTTTGCGTCTGGTGGGATATCACCTCACTTGCAGTTCTCTGTGCATGGCATGGTGAGGCAAAAGCAGGAACAAGGGTGTAAATCATAGTGGTGGCAGTAATTCAAGAATATTTGAGTATGAAAATTGTGGAAAGGCTCCTAACTCCTGTCTCAGCTGTCAAAACATTGCATAGAAGAGCTTTGGGGTTGTGCTATGCCTTTTTTAATTGTAGGTGAAGTGCTGGGCAGTAAGTGCTGGCATGAGGCATGGGAATGAACTAGGGTTGCCTTATCTGTGAGGAGAATGTGCAGGGAACACAGCTGTCACCCAGAGGGCTGGAACGTTTTAAGGAAGCAGCATTCTGCCATATTTTGGTTATTCCTGTGGCAGTTTCAGAAGTAAACCCCAGAGTTTCTGCTGACTCTGTTTTCCCTGGGTAGTCCCTGAAATGACTGAGTAGGTGTGAATCAGTGGTGTGCATCACCTGTGGTTTGAGTTACCACTTGGCTTAGGTAATACACATTATCACTGTGAAGTTGTTTGGTGGGTACTGGTTTTTTATCTTGGCAAGTGGAGTGTATTGTACATCTAACAATGGATATTCAGCTTATTTCACTTGCAGGAGACCTCTAAACTTTGCCTTGGCAAACTCTTGTCAGTGACTTGAGGCTTCACTGCTTGGAGCTAAATCTGGCCGGTGACTGATCACCAGCAGTGTTTCTCAGGGCTCAATTCTAGGGCCAGTTCTGTTCAATGTATTTATTCTAGATAAACTGGAGCATTGAGCAATGAATATTGGAATGAAATTGAGCAAGCCCAAATGCTGGATCCTGAATATGGGGACAGAGTTACTTCTGGGCACAAGTACAAACTGTGACAGGAGTGTCTGGGGAGTGCCCTGCAGGGAGGGCCCTGGGGGTGCTGGGGGCAGCAGCAGCTCAGTGAGAGTCAGCAGGGTGTGCCCTGAGCCCAGAGGGCAGGAGCCGTGTCCTGGGAGCATCAAACACAGAGCACAGCCGGGCAGAGGGGGATCATCCCCAGTGCTCAGCGCTGGTGCGGCCTCACCTGGAGTGCTGGCTGCAGTTTGGAGCCTCACAATTTAAGGATTTGAAGGTCCTTGAATGTGTCCAGAGGAGGGGAACTGCAAAAGAATTTTTTAAAATCGGGCTCTCATCTCCATCAGACAGATTTGCTGGTACAAATCAACTGTGTTACATGGTAGCTTAAGCCAGGTGACTCAAAAGAGGGATCCCCAGCAAAGGAATTCCTGGGCAATATCACCCGTATGATCTAAACTCCCTATCCCTCAAGCAACAGTCTGGATCGAAAGCATTATTATAGGGGGTCTCCTCACTCTTCATTGGGTCACTTTCATTACCAAGTGGTTGCCGTGTGGTCACCTTCATATCCTCTTAGGGTGGTTTTGCTGAGGATTTTGATCAGTTCTGCAGTCCATGTTGTAATATGGTTGTTCCAGTTATATTCCAACTGAAACAGAACAGACTGTTCTAATTTCATGTGCTACCTGAATTTGATGAAGCTGTTCATTGGTATTAATCAGTGTATTACTGAATGGCTTGGGGACCTGCTTAAGATGGTGGTGTTTTGTTTTTTTTTTTTCCATCATGTGAATGATTTTGCTGGATGGCTGAATCATTGGGGTGTGAGTCACTCCTGGCCTGTGACTTTCTGTTCCTCAAATTGTGTTCCATAACATGTTAACCCTGCTTTGATGACACTTACAGACATGCTTTCACTTAATCTGAAAAATTAAAAATACTTCTGTTTTCTTTTGGCTTTGAAGGTATATCTGACCAATTTTCTCTATATTTTTGGCTTAATCTTTGATGCTTTTATCTTCTTTCTATTGCTGACTTGTGTGACTTACGAGGTGACTGTTTATATTCTTGTATCAGGGGATTAATCACTAGCTAGAGAATCAGTGTGTCAGACCATCTGTGTGAAGGATCTTCTATCCATTTTCCTGCAAGCAATAAATCTTGTAATGTCAGCTGCTGAAATGATTTTTAGTTCCGCTGAGGAGTTGTTGGAGTGCTTACAATTATTCTGTGGTCAACTAATGAAGTCTGAAATGCTATCTATTTAAATATGTGGTTCTCTTTTTTCCTGTTCACCATTTTAGCATCTGGTCTATTGAATATATCAGAGCTCTCTGAAAAACAATGTTTTGTTTTTGTCACAGTTGCAAACTCCATCCTTCTTGAGGTTTTAAGTTACTTTTAGGTATGTACCTTTCTCCCCCAAGGCTTTAATTCTGAAAGAGAAACAGGACAGTGTAGGACTGTCATTCTATGTATCTTTTGGTAAGCTTGCTACCACAAAATTTGTATCATGACTGTGGTTTACCCTTATTGGTTTACTTTGCTTTTGCTATAACTCTCTTAGCTGAAGCTGTACTTGTACTGCTGGGCATCTTCAAAAAAACACTTTCAAAAAAGCAATCTGGGAAAACACTGCAATTAGAGGGAAGGTAGTATAATAAAACTTTGTGTGAGATTATATTGGCAGGGTGGTGTTCATTTGCAAAAAAACTAGTTGATTTTCATCATTCACATGACCTGATGCATAGAGTTCATTGGTACATCTGTAACACACTCAGAGGCATTAACACATGGATGTCCAGATGGTGTGGCTAGGATCACTTGTGTGCAAAGAGGATGACGAGGGATGTAGGTTGTCAAGTCTTCATCATGCTGCTGGACTTCTTCATGGTACTATAAAGTAGTTTTTGGACAAATCTTTCATAGTGTTCAGGAGTCACTGGTTGGTATGGGATGGTTCTTTGCTGTAGAAACTTTCTGACTTCAGGTTTCATAAATCTTGGACCAAGTTTGGACCAGGTTTTGTTTTGTTGGGGTTTTTTTTTAACCTTTTTGTTGTTGTGTGTTTTTTCTTTATCTGAATGTTTGAAATGCATGCTTGAGGTCTGTTTTTCTATTGGACCAAGAAACAAAGGGGTTGTGTTTGTGATATGCTGCAAACTTGTTACCATCCTTCTGGTAGAGGATCTTTTGCTGATGAGTCATTTATGCTGTCCTCTTACCAGAGTGGAGGCCTTTTGGCCATTACACAAACAGTGTATTTCTCAATTTCAGTGCTGGGAATAGTGTCCTGAAAACAGTGTCCAGGGAACAGCATCCTTCATTATTGGTACAGCTGTGCTTTTAACCCTTGGTTCATGTACAAAGTCACTCTCTCTTACAGTCATGTGGCAGTCATGCCAGTCCTAATATTTCTGTTAAGACTGGCATGACAACAGTAACTTTCAAATGGAAAAACAGAAATAAAATATTAACAGATTTTGAAAAAGAAGAAACTGCTCATTTTTGTGTCAAACTGTATGGGCTGATTGTTAACAGCTGCAGTTTAAGAGGAAGAATGTACATTTGACATGGGGATAAATCGAAAACCTTAACTTTCCCATGCTTCTAGGTCTGGCTTGCTCAGGAGGCATTTTGGAAGATTTCCTGTACTTAGTAGGCAGTGAGATCCTCTTGCCATCTTACTCCAAACTTCCCATCTTGTGTATTTATTCAGTGGAACTGCAAGTACTAGATGCATTTTTCTCTGTGGAACTGTTTCTACATGGGCAGCTTTACTTCCTTCCTTAATAAAAACATTTCTTTGCTCTTGTGTAACTTTTATGCAAGCTGCAGCATTTTCAAGGCATTCCATGTATAAAATGCACATAATGAAAAATATTTGTTTTATAAACAACCAGTTTGCCATAGAGGCCATTGAACGGTATATTAATATCATAGATGGCAGGCATTGATTAGTTGGGGTTTATTTTTGTAGATCATCTCCCCACACACATATTTGCCAGTGGAGGGTCCCATTACCAGAATTAGCCAAGTAAATTGAACTATGAGTTCAATGACATTATTTAATTCTAAGTGCTGAAGTCAGAGGTGTAGTCTGCAGGAGTGTATAATGGTTTCTCACCTTGTTTCTCTCCTCTCCCTCCCTCCCTCCCTCTGTATTTACAGGTTGTTCTAATATTTGTCTGTGTGTTGACAAAGGAATCTGTAGAAATTACTCCAGTGCCATATAGAGTGCAAGTCCGTCGGGTAACTTTGGATGGAAAAAACCCCTCTAACCCTTTGAGGAGAGAAAAGAAACAGATGCACTGTCAACTGGGACAATACCTACACCCCAGAAAGACCCACTGCTGCATGAGGTGTCATGCAGGTACGCAAAATAAATACAGTAGTAATGACTTTCACCTGGGAGGCATTTTCCAGTCCTGCACTCTCAAACTGTCTCTTTCCTACAGCTAATCAGCTCTCCCTTTGCTTGGTACTTATCCCTACCTAGATAAATTCTTATTCCTTTTCTCCTCTTATGGGCTGTCAGTGTCATTCACACTGGTGAGAAGAAACATACCTGGTCCTTATGGCATCAGTTCCAGGGTTTCTTTGAGGAACCAGTGACTACTGTCCACCCTAAGACAATACATTTGCCATCCTGTCAGAGCTCTCTTAAGTGATTTTCTTGCAGGTACCTACAAGGCAAAAGATTGTGATGGGCCTGACCAGGCAACTGTCTGTCTTCCATGTGCCAATGGCACATTCACAGCTGTTGACAACACCATGTCTAAATGCTTCCAGTGCAAACGCTGCCGTGCAGGTGAGTCACTGTCAGACCTGCAGGATCTGAGGAAAATCTGGAGGGGATGGCAAGTTGAACGAGGGAGCTTGGGTGAGTCACTGTCAGACCTGCAGGATCTGAGGAAAATGGGAGTGGATGAGGGCTGGAGGGAATGGCAAGTTGAACGAGGGAGCTTAGAAAAGTAAGCAGTTGAATGGGTAAGGCAGTGTATGGGGATGGATTTGAGACAGCAAGAATAAGGGTTACCAAATTGGAACAGTCTGAGATACAGTTTGCAGGCCTTTCTGGCCTTTTTCTGTGAAAATTAGGGGATGACAATGCCTATGATCATAACAGTGCTCTCAGTTGAAAGTGAAGGAAGAGGTTGGAATAATTTCTCCTTTCTTTCCTCAGCACTCCAGCAGATAGTAGAGACCCCCTGCACCCCAAAGCAAGATACTGTGTGTGGCTGTCATAAGAATCAGTATCAGATTGATTCTGAATCTGAATACTTCCAGTGTAGGAACTGCAGCTCGTGTGCTGATGGGATTATTGCCAGCTGTGAGTATGGCATGGATATGGCTCCAGTGCAGATGTACTGACTTTCTGATCTGCTGCAATGCCTTGCACTAAAAGGATGGTAGTTTTGGAACAACTCTGGGGTTTGTCTGCCCTCTTTCCCCAGAAAGACTGCTATTTTTGCCTGCTCTGGCATGAATCCATTTCCTATCATAGCTGCTTTCTTTTGTCCTTGAACAGTTTCTTGGTTTTGGCTGTTGTGGAGCTACTTTCTACTTAATTTTGGTGCCTCTGCCTTGCCTGTCCTGAAGCAAGGTTTTTATGTTCTAGAGCAGGTTTCCCCTTGCCTTCCTTGTTTGTCCTTCTGATGCTCACTGCATTTCTCCTACCAGCTGCTGGAAGCACTTTGAGTACGATGGATGAAAATACCTCTGGCCCCTGTGCTCAGCTGAACTGCTTATCAGTCAATTGCTGAGCAACCACAGTGTTCTGTGCAGTGTTCTAAAGTAAAGAACTGCTAGTAATGCTGAACTACAGCCATTGGCATTGGGCATTACCTTGGGATGATGCCCAAGGTGTCTGGGAAAAGTACTCGTGTTAGCTGTTCCAAGGTGCCTCATCTCCAGTCAGGAATCAGAGATCTTCAACAAACACTATACACTCTTTCCATGTCCCTTAAATGTCTTCTTTTGATGTGAGGACTGAGAAAGCATGAGTCAGTATTGGATGCAACACAAACTGACTTTATTTCCTTGAGCAGCTCTTTTTGAAGGTTGCACAGGCAGATCTGACTGTGCGGCCGAATAAGACATCACACATCCGTGCCCATTCACACCCCGACTGGTCTTCCAGATCTGCACTTTCACAAGTTCCTCAGTGGCTGTCTTCCAGCCAAGGACACACACTCCCCTCTCAACTTTTTATTCAGCTGGTCATGATCTGTACCAAAGATACAATTATAATTAATTTAGTCATTGTTCTTTAATTATCCAGCAGGCCCATGCTTCCAGTCCAGCTGCTCCCACATCCTACCTTGCCTTAAAGCTATCCTCTGTTCCTTGCAAACTATGCTACTCCTGATCCCTTTCTCATCTCTTACCTTGCCCAGAGTGAGTTTATCTGGTGAATTTGTTCTCTCTAGTGCTCAATCATCTTGTCACAGTTTCCACACTTAAGCATCTCTTCAAGGGTCATGATTTCACACTGTCCTTGAGCAGCTTCCTTCCCTCTTGGCTGATGTAGAACTGTTTTATTCCCCTCCCTCACTCACCACAGAATGCATGCTCCTTGTTCTAGTAGATTTTCTCCTCCTCTCATGAAATTTGATGTCCTTCCATCACTGTTCTTGCCTGCTTCTCTCCACACCTGTTTTACTCAGGCTCCCTCCTGTGACTTGCTTAGAAGTGATAGTTATTTCATTTCTTACCCCTTTCACTCACGACATCAGAAGAGTGCTTATGTGTCCCATGACTTCAAGTGATTTCTCCCTGCCCTGACCTGACTTCCTCACCAGTCCCAGCTGCTCAGGGACAACTTCTCCCTCATCTTGGCCTGACTTATGTGGTTTCCCCTTCCTGTCATGCTTGAACTTGGGTGACTTTTACTGCTTTTTGCGTATTACACTAATTCTAGCTGCTCTGTAATTATAGTCCCTTTCCAAGCCTCTACAGAGGTGCCCACCTTCACGACAGTGGCACTCTTACTTCTATTACTTTTATCATCCCCCAACTCTGTTTTTATATGTAGATTAAATCCTTTATCTCTTCTTCAGTAGCAGTTTTCCAGGCATAAAAAAGGATAATCTCTCATCCATCTTGGAGTGGATTTTTTTTCTCTTGTTTCTTCTTTGTCCAGATTATGGCAACAGTTTCTGGGGTTTTTTTTCCTTCTACAGGTTCAAAGAACAGAGATGCCATTTGCAGATGTAAACCTGAATTCTTCCTGTCACGTAGTAATATTTGCAAGCCTTGCAACAGGTGAGCTTTTTTACTCTGTGTGCCCCACCGCTGAGTAGGAGAGACAGCAGGAGCTCCACAGAGGGAGGAAATTCTTCTCATGACTCCTTCTATCTGCGCATAACTTTACAATTGTCTAATTGCCTTTCTGGGACAAATAGGTCTTCACCTGCAGTCTCCTCCATGTAGGCATCAGCCCACTAAGAGCCCAAAGTCACTAGTCACAGTGCATTGCTCTGCTTTGCAGGCTCATCTTGACTTGTCTGTTAATTAGGGTGGTTGGAAATGGCTAGAGTTTCATTGCACGTGTGCTCACCTCTCTGATTCACCCTTTCAGCTGCACTGGAGAAGACTGCTTGCGGTGTCCTAGCCCAGTCGCTACCTCACCGACTTCATCTGGGCTGAGTGAGTGCTCAGGGGACTGAAGGGCAGTGGAATCTTTTCCTTGTGGGGTGTTGTTCTCTTAATGCCTTTTGTAAAGGGTTATATTTTCCACTTTGTCAAACCATTATCCTTTTTCTCCCTACCATTTGCAAATCTCCACTTGCTGTTCTTCCTCTAGCACTTACCTCCTCTTTTCTTAGTCACTTATGCATTTGCTCTCTTCCTTTTGTCCAGATGGAAACCTTGTACTTGGCACCCTTGTTGCAATATTTGGAGTTATCTTCGTCCTCTGTGTTGCATGTAAAGTAGGGAAGCTGGTCCAGAAATATAAGACAGTGTCTGTCTACTCCTGTGGTGAGTACAGCAGCACGTGCAGTGATATTGACTGGGACAGACAGTGATTTCTGTGTGGTTTTGTGTGTGCACATGTGTGAGGGAAAAAGTGGGATCCCCTTACTCTGCTGTGCTGCAAGGCCAGAGTCGCACAAGGGCTAAATAGCCAAGGCTCTTGTTGCAGTTCTGCATCCAGGCCCGTAGCTGTGACTGGATGTGCACGTGACCTTATTTCTGGGATGTGTATTTTGCTATAAAACATTTTTGAGTGCAGAATTGTGAGTAGCTGCTTTCCTGTTTTCTCTGGGATGAGAGGAAGTGAAAATAATTTCTGCTTTCTTTTTTTTCTTTCTTTCTTTGAAGTTTCTTTGCCACAGACAGCCAAGGAGCCGGTAACACAGGTGAGCAAGATGATGGGTATAAGAGCTTACCTTCTACTTTCAAATATGTTAGCTTGGGATCTGGAGTAATATTTTTCCCCATGGGCTGTTTTTAGGCCTTGTATTTTCAAGTGAGCTGAGTAATAGGGCTGTCTAACTCAGAAGTCTTTTCCTGTAGAGGGTGGAGCCAATAATGCTTTACTTCCCCTCTTCTAGAGGATGCTTTTCAAACTCCTGGCGCTTTTTTTTTTCCCTGGATGCATTTTGTTCAGATAGTTCATCCTTGATCCCCTTTTCTCTCTGTGTACCCAAAGCTTGGAGGATTTAATTAATTTTACTCCACTTCAGATCTTGACTCCACAAGCCTCTCAGTGCTGCTTCACAGTATTCTCTCAGGTCCAAGGTATCTCTGTGAATAAGAGGGCCCAGACAGCAGCTGAGGTGGGGATTCCACAGCCTTACAGAGGAGGCTGATGGGAAAGCTGGCATGTGGAGCTTCTAGAATGGTGGTGATTTTGGGTACCAGACTTACTTGGTTTTGTAAAGAAATACTTTTTCCTTGTTTTATCGTGCCAAAAGAAAGTTAAACTCTTTGGGTTCTGTTGGAAAGAAATGTTTGGTGTCCTCTGCTGAAACAAGTAATGTAGGAAGGAATAAAATCTCAACACCCACTCCCCATCTATCTTGGATAAATTTTAGCATATAAAGCTAGTGGTTACTTGCAGGAGACAGGTGTATTGTGCTGCTGTGGGTAATTCTATGTAATGTGTCTTTCAGGCTGAGGAAAAAATAAATGAAATTTCCAGCCTTCGTCCTGAGTCCCAGAAGGAAACAGAATTGCCAGTAAAGGCAACCCTATCACCTGCACCTCTGCCACAGAGTTCACATGAGTTACCAGACTGCATCAGACCTGCCAGGAAGACACAGCTTCCAGACAGTAAGTGAAACTCCTCCATCCTTCTCTCCTTCCCCAGAAGGATGTATGTGACCTGGATGTGTACCCATGCACGCACAGCACAGTAGAAATGCAGAAGCATGCCCAGAGCCTGCAAGTCTGTATATGCTAAGTATTTGTGTAAGGCCTTTCTGTTGTCCCTTTTCCCTACCAGCAAAATGGATTGTCATATGTATTGACATGCTGTCAGTCTTAATGTCTCTGGGGTGACCCAGAATAATTTCAATAATTCATTCTTTTTCAAGAATGTATGGCAGCAAGGCCCTAAGCAAATGTGCTTGACTCTGCTCATAGCCTTATACAAGAGCATATGGAAACATTCCCATTACATTTTGAGGGACAAGAGCAAGTCTGGAGTCTGTGTGATTACTCTGGAGAACTGGAGAAAACTTGAACAAGAGGGGACAATGCAAGATACCAGGGCAACCTCCAGCCCTGGATTATTCACATCCTCCTTGAGGTCGAAGAATCTTACGTCTCAGGGTTTTCCCTCTGTGTTCACAGCCCCTGCTATCCTGTACACCGTGGTGGATCACGTGCCGCCGTCGCGGTGGAAGGAGTTTGTGCGGCGCCTGGGCCTGAGTGACTACGACCTGGAGCGGATCGAGCTGGAGCACCGGCGCCTGCGAGACGCCCAGTACGAAATGCTCCGGCTGTGGACACTGCAGATGGGCCGTGCTGCCACTGTGGAGCACATCAGTTGTGTTCTCAACCAGATGGAGCTCAGTGGCTGCAGTGACGCCATTCAAGAAGCTTTGCTAAACCAGAACTCTCCTCAGCCCTGCAGCCTCCACAACCACCTTTAATCTATTTCTGCTTTAGCTGCCTTTGACTGTTAAGAGGGGATCATAGCTCTCTTTCTTTCCTCATATCTCCCCATCTTTGTGAAACCCGTCAGCTGATTTTGTTGGAGACAGCAGCAGGTTATGCTGGAGGAAGGCTGAGGTTTGCTTCTTAACCACCACGTAGTTCAACCTTTAAGCCACAGTAGACCTCTGCAACACCTCCTCTCCCAAGGAGGGGAAGCACCTCATAAAGGAAGTGGTGTGTGAACTCGGACCAAGATGCAAATAGGAGCTCTGAGTGACTTGATCATAGATCAGCTTCTATGGACAAGTTGTTGCTGAAACAGGTACTCCACACATCGTGTGGTGGGTAAACTTGTAGGGTGCTTTAGTTAAGCTGACTGTTCAGATGTTAAAGTACTCACTCACTTCTTGCAGATCTATTTTTCTGCGAGATCACCCAGTTGAAGTGGCTCATATTGCAGCCTTTCGATTGCTAAATCTGACTCAGAGGAAGTGGTGGGAGGATGTGCCTATTTCTGGGAGCAGGAGAGGATTGCCCCCTCTCGGTAGCAACTAGTAGGTATCATGTAGCAGAAGACTCGTGGAGATTCAGAACTGGTTCTCTCTCTGCGAGGAACGGGAGGACATTATCCTTTCCACACCACGTCCCTCAGGTTCCAGAGGAGTAAGAATTCCAAGCCAGTGAGTCAGATGAGAGGGTTGGTGCTTTTTTCCTCAAGTTTTTTTTTTTTTCCTGTATCTAGAAATCATGTAAATTAGCATTAACAAAACACCTGCCTGTGTGTCTGTCCAAGTGCAGGGTGGCAAGGAGTGTGTGCATCTGCCTGGGGGAGGTGGTACCTATGCATGAGCACAGGCAGCACGAGCACCTCTGCAAATCTGTGCTGGCACACAGGCTGGTAGGCTTGTGTCTACCTGCTTATCTACATATGGATGATTCCATGAATCTAACTGCAAATGGGACTGTGTACGTGTCTGTATAGATATTTTAGCAACTGTTGAATAACTGCACACTACTTCCCGGACTGTGTTCTGTGATTGCTGCTTGGCTATGGGAGCCCTTCAGTACCATCTCCAGGCTCTCCCCATCACTTTCTCACCAGAATTACCCTGGGAGAACCAGATGTAGAAAAATGCAACTAGCCTGCACCAGGTGCAGGTTGTCCACATGTTTGTAACATGTGTTATTTCAGTCTCTAATCCCTTGATCGGAGACAAACTTTCTATTGTAAATGCACTAAATGTTCTGAAATAAAGTGAATATTTTTACCTCTGTTTTGGTTTTGCTCATATCAGCTTCTTTTCTGTGACTGTGGCTGGGGACAGAGGAAGGGGAATAACTTATACAAGTGTCAAGAGCAGATGGCTTGGTGGTCTTGTGTATTATTTTTTTAAACCCAAGTTTTATATATATTTTGGTATGCAAAACTTAGCTGACCTCACATCACAAGAAGCTAGCTGAGGGCAGGAAGTAGGCAGGATGTAAATGAAATCCAGTTGCAGGTCTTCTCAGATACTCAAGAATATGAATGCCAGCACATTTAGAGTGAATTTTTAAGCAATATATAATGAGTCATTTAGATTTGTATCTGGCTTTTTTAAACAGGAAAGTATCTTTAAATAAAAGAATAATAATAGGTTATACTTTAATGTTCATCTGTTTAATGTTTTTGTCCGATGAACCAGATCACCATGTTAAATAAGGAAGGACTACTCCTATTCTACTTGAAAGTTTCCTACTTGAAACATGGCAGTTCCTGACCGTCAGTGACAAAGCCAGGAACTGACATCAGTTTTAATTCCCAGTTTGAGGCTTTGTTTTGCTATGCCTACATCCTATTTTAATTGAGGATGATGTTGTTGCTTTGGGTTTTTGTTTAATCAGAGGCAGTACAAAGCTCAGTGTAATACACTTTTTATTTCATAATTTATGTTCAACAAGCACAACAGTATGACAATTATTAGAAGTACATGCTGTATATTGAAAGTGCTTGAAGTGGGGAAATTCCCGGAAATCTTTTCCAGGTGTGATGTCTAAGCCTTGGACTTTTTTCCCCCCATCTCAAACTGTTCAATGCATCATTTAAAATCTATGTGTTGCAAAGCTTGTGGCAAGATGAGCCACAAGCAGCAAGCCTCAGGCCACTGCTTAGTTGCCAGTGGCTTTGTTAGTGTTTGGGAGCACACGTAACCACAGACAGATTATGTGCAGGTGCTTTATTGAGGTGTGCAGGAACTAGGGGTTTTACCAACCCAAATCTAGTTCTGTTGTTTTGTCCAAAGTGCACATATTTATACTATTTCAGCTGTACTAATCACTATAACAGCCTTATTGATATTGCTTCATTAGAGCTTAGCCCGAGCTTGTACGAACATGTATGTATGAATCTTATCTATATAGCTATCTTAGAAACTCTAAAAACTGATCCTCGTTACTATGAACATTCTAGCTTGCTAAACTATCCCGAATACCAAGCATTCTTTCGGCCTAGCTTCATGCAGGAATTTTGCAGAAATCCATGGCTATGAAGTGTTTCAGAGAATGCTGAAGATGTATGTATGTGAAGATGGGAGTGGAGGCTCCTCATGCTGCTGCACGGACAGAGCAGCCCCCAGAGAAACACAACTGTTTATGTAATTTCATTTTTTTGTCTTCATTACTCATTGAGTATCTATCGCTAAAGCGATGATGCCTGTATACAGAACATTTACATTTTAACTGCAAGGGGTCCAGCTCTGGTCCCGCAGCATGAGGAGGACATGGAACAGTTGGAGCAAGCCCAGAGGAGGCCATGGTGTTGATGAGGGAACTGGGACACCTCCCATAAGAAGACAGGCTGAGGAAATCGGGCCTGTTCATCCTGGAGAAGCTTCTGTGGAGACCTCCCAGCAAGCTTCCAGTATCCCAAGGGGGCTACTGGGAAGCTGGAGAGGGACTCTTCGTCACTGTTGTGATAAGGCAAGAAGCAAACTGAAAGAGGAAATTTAGGCTGGGTATGAGGGAGGAATCCTTCGCCGTGAGGGCGGTGAGGCGCAGGCTGCCCAGGGCGGCTGTAACCATGGCCACGTCCAAGGCCAGGCTGGATGCGGCTTTGAGCAACCCACTGGGAGGTATCCCTGCCCTTGGCAGCGGGGTTGGGACTAGATAATGGTTAAATTCCCTCTAACCCATGACATTCCAGGATTCCATGGAACCGCCTCAGCAGCGGCGGACTCTACTCCGGCTGCCGCCCCCGCGATCCGCCGCGCCTTGGTACGGCCCGCGGGGCCGCGGTGCGCGCCGGGAGCGGGCCCGGCCGGCGCGCGGGGGTGCGGCCGTCATCCCGCGCCGCGCTCCCGCCGCTTCCCGGCGTATCCCGGCGTATCCCGGCACTTCCCGGCCCGACATGGCCCTCAACAAGTCCATGCACGCCCGCAACCGCTACAAGGACAAGCCCCCCGACTTCGCCTACCTGGCTGGCAAGTACCCCGAGTTCCAGCAGCACGTGCAGACCACCCTGGCGGGCAGGGTGAGGTACGACCGGGGCGGGATGGGGCGGGTGGGTGCCCCGGTGTGTCCCCCCGGTGTGCCCCGGTGTGTGTCCCGGTGTGTGCCCCGGTGTGTGCCCGCCCCCGGGCACCCCTGAGAGCTCCGCGTGTGCCTTTCAGCCTGAACTTCAAGGATCCCGAGGCCGTGAGGGCTCTGACGTGCACCCTCCTGAAGGAGGATTTCGGGCTGACCATCGACATCCCCGTGGAGAGGCTCATCCCCACCGTCCCTTTGAGGCTGAACTACATCCACTGGGTGGAGGATCTCATCGGCCACCGCGATGCTGACAAGCAAACCCTGAGACGAGGCATTGATATAGGTAAAGTTCAGTGTTTAAGTCCTTGTTTACCGTCAGCGACAGTAGCAGGTAGAATTTGTTGCACAGGAAAAACTGTGATCCTCTTCTCTTGAGGAACACAGAGATCTGCTGTGTGCTCGCTGTGGTGGGAGGCAGCCTGAGCTCCACAGGTGTTTCATGGCCCTTCTGGGTGGGCAGCGTTTCTCTGCACGAACACAGAACAGCCACGGCACGCAATTATGTGGCTTTTCAGGGCCTTGAACTCACTTGAGTGCAGCTTTGTGTGGTATACAAAAGCTGTGCTTCTGTGCAGGCAAAAACGTCATTCTAAAGGATCTAAAAAGTGTTTCTTCTCAGTGTTCTAACTAGCGAATTGTGTTTTCTTCATAATTTTTTAATTTTGCTTTTGGGTGTCTGCACCAGAGAGTTTGTGAGTTGCATAGCATTCTTTTTTGGTCTTCCACTTAATAACATTTTTTCCTGTTGTTGTAGGTGTATTTGATATAAATGAATGATCTGTCCTTTTTAAATTTCAATTTTTATTTTAATTTATTTAAACACAGTTTAAATAAATTAAAATAAAACTCACAAACTCTCTGGTGCAGACACCCAAAATGTGAGCTGAATTGTAAAAGAGGCCAAATTAGAAACCAGGGGAAATGCTAGCTAAGCTGTGTTTTGCTTGTAGATGGTCAAAGATTTCTTGTTTATTGTTGAGAATAAAATGTCTTTTAAGTTGGACCAAGCATCAACAGATAGATAATACTGTCCACTTCAGTCTGGATTGCTGGGTAATATCAGGATGATATCTAGATTAGGCAGCAGATAAGTGTAAACAGCAGAGGTGTGAATTTATTAGGTGTGCACTGATGGCCATAATTTGTTTTTAATTGGAAATAAAAGAAAGGCACGCTCCATAAGAGCTTCCACACAAATAATAATATTGGCATTTGGATTCCCAATCTTTGGCTATTCTGTATGAATTATTTAAAAGGCACTAGTGATAGTACATTTGAATTTAGTTCACATCTTTCATTTTGTCAATAGAATCTTCCATTGCAGTTTCAGAGGCTTGATTTCAAACACTGTTTTATGCTGAAGAAAACTTAGAATGAAATTTAGAGAAGTTGGAATTTCTTTTGTAACCTGTTTTAGTGCTCGACATTAAAACTTTAAAGTTGCTGAATTCCTCAGAGCTGAGGTTCAGTAATCTTTGTTACTGTGTCAGATTTTGTGTTTCTTGGCATCTGCTAGCATGACTTTTTGTAACGGGATTTTTTGTTCTCCAGAAATTTACTGACTTGTATTTTTAGCTGGAGCTGTGCTGGATACTGGGTTTGCATCATCACATGTGTGTCCACAGCAGCTTTCTTCTAGTAACTCTGAAATTTCTTAGCTTCTGTGCATTTGATACCAGTTTTCATTTTTGAAAATGATTTCTATGAACTTCATCACAGTAGGTGTCTGGGTAGAAGAGACAGATCCCTAAGTCCTCCACATAGTGCAAAATCTTCAGTTTGAGTTTGCATGAGCTTTGATGTTTCAGCTTTGGAAAAGCAGGAAGTCATCCAAGAGGGACTTGACAGAAGTGCTAGGCAAAGTGAAGCTTTTTGCCTGCTGACAGATGAAGTTATTGATGGTTCAATAAGTCAGTGTAACAGATTCTAAATACATGTCTAAACTCTAGTTTTGTGGTGGTGGGATATCTTTCCCTTTTATTGTATCCATTTCTTTAATCCTAAATTTGGTTGTCATTGATAATTTGATCATCTAGGTATGCCGTAATTATTTTTGCTAGCATCTCTCTCTTTTTTTACCAAGTTTTTATCTGTCTCTGTTTTTGAATATCTTAATTGACACTTAGGTTTCTTTGATTGTTTTAGACATTAGAAAAAGGCAGTCTGGTGAAACAGATTTTTTTTGTGGTTATTGTATTCATCAAAGTAAATTATTTGTGATAGATAATAGAAAAGTGCAGAAGAGAAATTTATTTGTGGTAGGTTTTGTTTTAGTAAAGCCAAGAATGTATTTGTCTTTCTTTATATAAATTAACCATTGTAATATAGAAGAAAAATAGCTTAAACCAAAGCTGATAGTTTACTAGAAAATTTATAACAGATTATTAAATTTTTTCTTTTATTAAAAGTGCATATTTGACAATGCTATTTTTCAAATTACAAAAAACTAAGTTCTTTAAAGAACTGAGTTGTAGGTGATCAATAATCAGCATTTTCTTGAAGTTAGTTCTTTTTGGTGTAATAAGTACATAGTGTATAGCACCAGTACTTACTTTGCCTTTTTCATGGATTTTCCCTCCTGCAGGGACAGGGGCATCCTGTATATACCCATTACTTGGAGCAACTTTGAATGGCTGGTATTTCCTTGCCACAGAAGTGGATGACATGTGCTTCAATTATGCCAAGAAGAATGTGGAACAGAATAACTTGTCTGATCTTATAAAAG